TTGCCTACAAAACCTGCTGGACCGGGGCTGTCCGGGACTAGAGTTTGAAATACCAGGTCTGTAACATTATCTGATTTTTCTTACAGGTTAAGATTAAAAATATACTCCAAGGCCTGAAGAATCACTTGGATGGTGGAAGCAGTCGACTAGAGTTCTCCATTAGTTACACTGGTGAACACAACACAAGCTTCTCTCTCAAACACTGAAACCTCTAGTTCTTAACACCTGGATGACCTATATCTGCTCCTCTGTATTGGCTGTACCTGACAAGGGGTATTAAAGGCAACAAGACATATGATACAATAAGGAACAAGTAATAGGTTTATGCCATGCTGAAAAGAGAAGAAAGAAAGCACAACGTTTCGGCCGTGGAGCCTTCTTCAGGTGTCGTACCATGAACTATATGATACAATAATACTTTATTATCTGATTTCTCTGAAATTTGTCTTGCATCAAAGCATCTTTGACTTACACACACAGAAACGTACAAAACATACAAACAATACAAGTTTGTACTGTATGTAAGGCACATTTTTGAGAAATTAGAACATTTTACATTACAAATACTGTAAATGTAACATTACATACTGTAATGGAAATCAGCCCATACATAATCATTTCACACCACTCTTACAGGGATCCACACAACTACACCAGTACCCTGTAAATGTCCTCTCCCCAGAACTACACTAAGCCCATATAATTCGTCCTTCACTTTCACACAGAATCTACTGATTGAACTCACCCATAAATCATTACTGCATTGTGAACTCATTTTTTGATTGAATATGGGATAAAATAAGAGACAGATAGTTATACATCTTGGCAAAACTTTTTTTTAGTTTGCATGCTGATGTAAGAAAATGTGATATTATGAGAAAAACAACTTAAATTACTTGTAGTCATACTTACAATGGTGTGTGTTAATACATACATAATTCAAACATAATTTGATTAATAAAAATGTATCTCATTTGAGATGCTATGACATTGTAAGATGAAACTATATGCTTGGTTCAGGAAGACTTCCAAAGTGTATTTTTTCTTAGAAGTTGGCATTGTGAGTAGATATTTAGATATAATTTATTTTTAAGTAAGGGAAAACAAAACATTCCACATTGTTAGAAAATACTGTAAACAAACAGACATAACCCAGCAGGTTCTGTATAAGTCAACAAATCATACATTTGTGGCGACTCAGTTTTTATCAATGTAGTAGATACATTGAATTAAGTTGGAAACGGCCAGCTGTGATCATTGATAGTAAATGGTTTTATTTTAATTTCAAATGCTCTTTAAATGACTGAATTGAACAAATTGCCTGCTCAAAATGAAAAATGAAAAAAAAGAAAGTGTTCAGAAATTGCTGATTGAAAAGTCACCAGTAGAAAGCCTGCTGCACCTTCTAGTACTGGGATTTCATATCACTGTTATATTAGTGTTTCAAATGACTGCCCCAAACTGTTGTGACGTAATCAGCCCATTCTCAGACACAAAGTATTTTAATCAGACCTGAATCAGCTCGCTGACCACAGCAATGATTAACATCATGGGGTTAATGAATCTGACCACTAGCAGCACAAATGAAGAAAAGCAGCACAAATGTATAGTTGTATATGTTTTTTTTCTTTTTAGAATTGACTACTACCCTTATGCACTCACTCTCCTCTTTCACTTCCAAAATGACTTTTTTGACTTTAATAGAAGGTGATGTGCACACTACCCTGCTGATTTGCTGAACTGAGAATTAAGGACATTATGCAGTTCAAAGTGGAAAGCCTATGGACACGTTAATCTAAAATGTACAGTATGAATGAATTTGGCATATCTAGCTTTCCACTTAACTTTGAATCATTTCTATTATTTATTTTACATTCTCAAATAAGCTGTCATTTAACTATCTCATGAACTGGTGGTAAGTTAATTCAATTTAATATGCATTTTGTACAGCCGCATTACAATTTAGTCAAATATCTAGCAGGTTTTTTTAAATACCGTATGATAAATTGTAATAGCTTTCATGCCCATATTCTCAAAGGATTTTATAGAAATATAGTGTATACATTAATAAGGGTATCCATCATGTCTTCTGTATGTCATTACTTCATGCAGATCTCTGTAGACCAGCAAAATACTCGTAAATGATAGCTATATCCACGATGTCCCTCTTGGATCCATGGCAGTGATGCAGCATCCAACTCAGATGGTGCCCAGCCCGGGTGCCATCTGGACATGTGGGGAGGAGAATAGGATAGTTTGGTCACAACAGATGCATCTATCTTGTGGGCCAACACAGAGACACACAATGGCATGTACAGCAGCACCAGCAGCCATGGTTGCAGCAGGCTATAATGTCAGGTGTGAGTAGGCTAGGCTGAAGTAATAGGTTTTCAGTCTGGATTTGAATACTGAGATTGAGTCGGCATCCCGAACATGGGGTGGGAGACTGTTCCACAAGCTAGGGGACCTGTAACTAAAGGCTTTACTGCCAACTGTTTTTTTATTAATGTGTGGAATATGAAGAAGACCTACATTCTGTGATCTAAGCAGGCAACTTGGATTGTATACATTAATAAGTTCCATTAGATAGACAGGTGCCTGACCTCTGAGAGCCTTATATGTAAGTAGAAGGATTTTGAAGTCCGCCCTGTACCTGACAGGAAGCCAATAGAGCTAAGTATAGGTGTTATATGGTCGTACTTTCTGCTCCTAGTAACAATTCTAGCTGCTGCATTCTGAATTCGCTGTGTCAGTAAAACCTCAAATTCTTCTTCAATGTACATATTAATCATAAGAGTTAATCTTCTGAATGCATTCTGTATCAATACACATTTCCAGTTCTATTTCTGAAGTAAGGTTAATTTTCCCTTACTTTTCCTTTTCCTCATGGTAAATAGCTTCATTAGGCAGAGATTGTGCTCAACTTCACATTTTTTACAGGTTTGAAAGGCACCCATTAATTTTCCCATTACATATGCCGATAAGAACATGTTGGCAGCTGTAATGTCCAGATAACTTTGGCTACTAACAGGAAGTTTCCTTTTCTTGTTCACAATTCAAACCATTCAAATTGCACCAGACTTCTGCTATCTGGGATACCAGACTTTACTTGGTTAAAAACTTGTTTCTCAGTCCTATCTTCATAACCATTTTTGTGTCTGTTTTAGGTGACCACATCCTGTACATTGTTAACATGTTTCATATTTCAAAGTCACCTGAGGCAGGATAAACCGCCAATATTTGTATTTGTATTTTTCTATTATCAGAGATATCACCATAAAATCTACTTATGCTTTATTTATATTTGCATCAAAAAGTGAAAAACTTACAGTATGTTTGTCTGTGAATGAACTTAACCATTTGCAAAACTACACACTTGGAAAGCACTTTAAGTGGAATGTTCAGAAAAGTGCTATATAAGTGTAAGGAATTATTTGCAATAAAAATTTTAAGTCAATGATATCTGAATCTCTTTAGCCTAAAATGTCCTATATATAATCATACAGTACTTTACCAGCTTTTTTCCATCTGTATAAAAACAGCCATTTCCTGTGCAGAATCACCAATGATTCATCATATAGTATAATTCAATCACAATGTGTTTTCATAATATAAATGTGGTGTTACATACTGTATTCAACATTTTTAGCACTTTAAAACCTCAAATATCGGAAACTAAGTTAGTACCTGAATCTGCTCCTTCAGTAGCTACTGTACACCTGAAAATAGTACAGGAAGAAAACAATTGTTTCCGTGGGTCACACTTTGCACACCAATCTTCATGACGAGTATAGCTCTCCCTGCCCCTCCAGGGGTGTGATCCTGGTCAATTCGAGACTTCGCGCACGCACAGCGCCACTCCCTAGGCACCAGATAACACCGCCATGCCAAAGAACCGGGTTCTCGGCTGTGGCAGTTTTACACTGTCTAGATTTCAGAAGGGGGAGGGTGTCGATTTCTGTAGCTGCCTCATGAGCCTCCTCACATTCTTCTGAAGTCCTCGAGCTCTCCTCTGCAACATCCTCAGTGAACGACAGACATGAGTCACGGCACCAGCAGTACAAATGCAGCTTCCCCGGCCCCCGATTTGATTCCTGTCGCTCCCCATGCCACTTCCTAAACAGCAGATAACTTCACCACCCCAAAAGACCAGCTCCTTTGCCAAACCCTTCTGGTTTTCAGCGGGAGCAATGTCACTTCTGTAACTGGGTTGTGCACAAGCTATGTTATACATAGATAGGTGACACAGAACTATAGCTAGTGCTCTTTTTTGCCTGTAAAAGCTAAACTGACATACTAATTAGCCACTGAACAGTAAAAAGGCATTAATAATTAACACTAATAATTACAACCCCAAACTTTACCCTTAAATTTACAGTCTAGTATCAAATGGCTAAATAATTCTTCACTTTTTAATGTTTACATCATATCTTGGCTGTTTCAAAACAGCTACCACATGACAATCATAAAGGCTGTCTTGCTTCTACCTGTAAAAGGGATCCACTGTAAATAAGTGGACTATTAAGATGCAAGGTTTTATATTTTATAAGAGAATAGTTCTCCACTACCTGTTATCCTGTAGATCATAATAAATAAACTTTATTTTATATAGCACCTTTTAAGTTGGCTTCTCAAAGCGCTTTACAAAACAACAACAAAAAAATAAACAAGCTCTAAATGTCACGACACTGACCCACTCTGAGTAAAGCTAGAGGTTTTTAAATGTATTTAAAAAAAAATCAAACAAGCAAGTTGTCACTTAATGTCATTTAATGAACGGTGCATTTTGAACTTGTATACATTTTCAGAAAACCTTCTTGATCTTAAAAGTAGTAGGATCAGAGAAGTATTCTGCTATTTTTTAAGCTCTATAAGTAGACTCGCTTAACCTGGTTTTGTACAATTCTGTTCTAAAGACATTTTGTGATATTTTCTTTTTCAACTAAAACAAGCTTTAAAAATGCATGTTAAAAAAAATAATACAAATAAGTAGAAAAAACTATTATACATTTTTTTTATTCTTACACGAAATACTGCTATTTACACTTTTCAGTTTAGAAAACAAAACTGTTATCACTGTACTTGACAGTTTTCACTTGAGTTTTCAGAAGCCACTATTTGTCTCCGTTTCTCCATTTGCTCAGGTGATTTCTTTGAGCTTAGGGATCTCTTGCTTCTCCTTGCTTCCATGTTGCTGACAGGACTCTCGAAACCCTGCTTAGTCGGACTGTTAGTTATGGTTGACAGCAGTTTCCCTGCACTGATGACCACTGGTGCAGGTAGTGATTCCACTTTGTGCATCTGCTACAAAAGAAGCATATTTTAACAACATCAATTTTAACAACGATCATCTTTTTTGAATACTGATTGCAGTATTTCAAGATGTGTACAACTGAACACTTCACACAGCTTTATCCAAACAACGTAACCTGTACGGTAAGCTATAAATTACGATGAACACAGTTAATACGAGGTTAATTTGTGAATGACTAAATTAACTCTTAAGTACAGACAGGTTCATGTTAACACTGCAGTCTTTGCAAGTAAAGTCCCACTGTGTAAAATTACTTCAAGCAAAAGAGAAATATACTTTTTTTTTAACTTTCTGACAGGTTAAAATGACACCACCTTAAATGAGAGGAGAACATTTTTATAGAGGTGTCAGCTGTGACACCTCTATAACAATTGTCTTATCCTTAGAAAAGAATAGATTTCGAGATAATGGAACACACACTGAAGGAAAAAAAAAGTGTATTTTTGTTTCTTAATACTTTAGTTTCAGTGACTGGAATACAAAAGTCAACCCAGAACAGAAAGAACAACAATAGTGTGACCCAGCTCACACCACATTATATTCTTTAGTCTATTTGAAAATCAGCAGGAAATGGGAAATAGCTACAAATGGTCAATTAGAACACCACCATGTCTGGTACTATACTATGTCGTTTGAAGTAGCTCAATAGGTGCTCGCAGTGTACATTAAGCTACTAAGAACTGAAGGTGGTTAGTCATTTTCAGAAAGAGCTTGCTGGCAGTCATTGCTTGTCTTTGTATTACTCATGGAAGGAAGTGTCTGCGGAAATGTTTAAAAGACCACCTTTGAGAGGCATTCTAGATGACTGTTCAGGATGCATGATGTTATAGTAATTGTGCATAATGCATAAATATTCAATATAGTTTCATATGACATTTAGAATATAGCTTCACAAGGGAGAAAATAAAAGCCTTTAAGTTCTAAATTGCAATATATTAATGATGTGTTAAAACGTGTAGCACTTCCAAAATAAATTTGAAAACATTTACAACTAAACTCATTTTAAGTGGATTGTTTCCTGTGTTTGAAATGTCTAAACTTTTGAGAACTCAAAAAACACATCGACAGCGGTGTTTGTATTCTTTGGTCTCAAGGCTGCTTATAACAGCCATTTGTAATGTCAGTCATAGTAATAGTGTTCCATTGCCCTGTTTATGCAAAGGCATATGTAGCACGTTAACTCTTACTTTTTTATTTTTGCTGCCCTCTGCTGTGGGTTTCTGTCCAGGAACAGCATTTTCCAGTCCTTTCTGAGCAGTCTGTAATGTGGGAGATCTCTTTGCAGCAAGGCGCGGGCTGCACCTCTGAACAGTTGTCCTACGAATAATGTAGGGGCTCATTTCTCCAGATGGGATATCTGCAAACCCTAGAAACCCCCCAGAGAGATCATGTTAATGCTATGAACTTTAATAGTCTTTATGGGGCATACAGGTAACTGCTGCAGCTGCAGCTCACCACCGAAGAACTCAGTAAGTATTGCGAAGACAATGTTTCCATCTTAGGATAGTATGAGAATGCTTTTGAATGTTATGCAAATGTCAACTTGTGTAATTAGAATAGCAGTGAAGCTTCACAATTAAATAATTAAAATTCAAAATATCTGACTAATTATAACTGAACTATCGATTACCTGAAAGCCTAATGCCTCCTGTCAAAACTGGACCTTTTTTTTTTACCCATAAATGGTCTTCTTTGGATTTTCTTTTTTGTTTGCTTTTTTGCTACTTCTCCAGCAATGCCCCTTGAGAAGACTCTGGCATGTTTTTTTTTCTAACCCAATTCTTCAGCTTAAATTCTTAATTCTTCAGTACATCACATGCACTGAAAAACATTTACCTTTTTTCACCACTTCTGGTAACCCCTCTAGTCTGAATTCTTCATCCTCCTCCTCTGTACGCTGCGCTGTTTGGGGGTTCACTTGTCCACAGACTCTCTTGCTGGAGCTCAGGTGCTCCTGTGCCTTTGCTGGGTCAGTCTCCTCCTCAGCACCTGAAGCTCTCTGCCTCTTTGCTGAAAGCCGTGACTGTCCTCTGGGTGAAGCTCTCCTCCTTTCTGCAGACTTAGGGTTCTTTTCTGTTGGGGAATCTGATGTTTTTGGAGTGCTCCCTGCTGTTTTGCTACCTTTCAAAGGCAATACCTGGCTGCTCATTAAAGCAAGTTTGTTTTCAAGGATCTCATTGGCTTCTTCCAGTTTGTGAAGACTAATCATGATATTGCAGTACTTCTCCATGCTCTCATCAGCTTCTTTACTCTTCTCATCCAAGGCCTCTTTGAGTTCTTGTATCTCGGACTGTAGTGCTCCTACTGTAGAGTGAAGAAGAAACCATTTCAAACAGTAAAAATAGGAAATTGCTCCTTTTATTGCTCATCTTTCCTTTTAAAATAATCTATAAAACACGACATGTATTTATATTTAAAGTACGTTTACTTTGAATGATCTACACAGTATTGCAGTGGGAAAAAAAGCTGCCTTCTACTTACACAAGACAGAAATAAATGTCTTACTTTTATTGTGCTGCAATCTAATCACGAATATATAAACAATATTAAATGCAAACAACAAAAAGGCCAAGTCCCTAAAGCCGTTATTATATATACCAAGTCGTTATCAAGTCAACCTTACTTTCAGTTTTTGCCATTGCAAGTACACATACATGATGATACATTTAGCAGAAAAAATGAAAAAACAGCCCATATGTCCATAATTCCCAGCTTTATTAATTCCTAGCTTTATTAATTCCTCATCTATGCAGGAGTAAATCAAACTTCATCAAGCTACAGGTCCAGTGAGAGGAACAATATTCCTAAAAACTGGCGTTCATTATGTATAGCAACCAAAGAACAAACACCACAGCAGAATATTGTTAATGCTGTAGTGATTGATACTCAAGATTTCTGAACAATTGTTTATAGCAGTGTTATATATAGTGCTCACAGAAACAAAATCTCCAAGGTTGCGTCATACCTTCTTCTAGGCTGGCATTACGTTTGGCAAGCAGTTCTTGCTGCTGGTTTTCTTTGAGGAGTGCTTCTTTCTCTTGCTCTAGCTGTTTGCAGGACTTCATCCAGAGCTGTAGCTTGTTGAGGGCAGAATCTTTCTCCTTAGTGAGCCGCATAATGGTGGAATTCAGGTCACCCTGTAGATGTTTAGCAGGTTTTTAGAAGCGGAAAACAAAATCAACGCCTTGTGGCAGGCTTACACTTTTTTGAGACACATCCCACACCTACTGTATGTATACCTGACATATTTTAAAAAATCTTTAGAACATATTAATTACCTTTATTTTGGTACACTGCTCCAATTTTATTTCCGATTCCTTTAATGCTAAGTTCAGCTCTTCTTTACTGGACTTCAGGTCATTTATTTCAGTGAAACAATCAATGTTCTTTTGCTCTGCTCCAGTCAGTTCTCGTTTCAGTGCCTGTTTTTCTCCTTCATACTGAAGAACATGAAAGGTCATTAGATGTTGCATTTCAGCTGAAATCAATATTTCCTTAAATGCATAAAAGGCAAATTTTCCATGTAGACAAGGACTTTCTATTCTTCCAAATAATTACACATTATAATTCCTTAGGTCTCGGTTCCCTTCTTCGTAACTAATCCCACCGATAAAATATTTCCTCCTCCAAGGTGAAGTTCTGAATAATTTTACAACTTGCTTTCGTTCTTCAAGAAATAGCCCTACAATAAGGAGCATAACTACCAAATAGAGAAAAAAGGTGTTGTGATCTGATTTTTTTAGGCCTGCGCAGTCTTAGTAAGTGTCAGTGCAGACCTGGATGTGAAGTGTTGTATAATATTTTATCATAGCTTTCTCCAGAGTGTAATGTTAAACAGCACCAGGATATTAAAACAAACCAAGAAAACCAAAGTATGACATTTAAATCTCAGGGGGTAGTGGCACAACATGTGTTGACTAAAGAACACAATGAAGAGGTATTATCCTGGCAACAGTATTCAAGAACAATGCAAAATCCTCGCAGAACTCAAGCAAGGGGGAAACAAAATTAAACAGTTTATGCATTCTTAATTCTTGAAACTGAGACTTTTATCTGAACTAATCACAAAATAAGCAAGTCAGATAATGACAGGTACAGTAGTCGTAAAAAACAAAAGGGGAATGTGTTATTTGGAGATGCTAAATGATTTAATCTCCTTTATTATTTTGCATTCCTGGAAAAGGTGGAGGACACATACAAAGCCTTTTCTGTTACTGCAGCTGCACTGCAGCTATGGCTAGACTGTTGTCTTTGCATTCTCTTTTTTATGCCCAGGGCATGATTATGTAACACACTTAAATGAGTGTTCCATACTTTCAATTTTTATCTGTAAAAAACATCCCTTGTAGATTTGTAGTTCACTCAGTGGCAGAGAAAAGTCACCCAAAAGAAGGCACAAGACAACAGGAGAAAAAAGGAATAGACATTCTGTATTGGTTAATTAGTGGCATTTTGGGTTGTAGCTTTTACTGAATTTCATTGATAACCATTATTTTTTGCCAACTTTTCCCTTTTGCAGTTAAACTGCATTTCTGGTTGCAACTCATATGCCTGAATGAAATACTTAAGCTACATGAAAAGTTAAAACTAATATTTCAAATAAACTTAGAATTACTCTTTATGCATTAAAAATGATGCACAAGCACAAAATAATGGCAAATATACTCAGTTTTGATTAATATTGAAGAGATAAGGGAGACACCTGGGAAGTGAGATAATAATATCATTTTTTTTTGTATTTTTGCAAACTATGCAGTCTAGTGGCTTGAAGTTGGCTTTGCGCCCAAATATATAAAGATGTTGCCTGGCCTTGGTCAGTAAGATAAAGGGCATGTATTTGGTAAGCAGGCTGTATGCCCAGAACACATGAAAAGGACTAACTGTTGTCTAGTCTGCAACTAAGATATAATTAATGTTGCTGTCTTATCATTCGTTTAGAATGTGTCATAGTAACTTGGTTGCTTGGTATAAAAAAACATCTTTAGTTACTTATTTTTAAGTCCGGTGATTGCAAGCCGAACTTCCATATGCATATGAAATAAAGAGACTTGTGCTTCACAGACACCTGAACTTTGTCATTTGTATGAGACGATAATATTTTACCAGTTTTGGAAACAATGCTCTCTTTGGTTATGACGAGCACGTTCTCCTGTAACAGTCCTAAACCTTACCCTTTCCTGGGCTAGTGCAAGCTTCTCTTGACAGGCACCTTCCATTTCCTTAATTTTCTGCTCATATAAAGCAATGTTATCCTGAGATAAGGCCAGATTCTTCTTAAGATCTTCTTTTTCTGAAGCAGAGATCTCTAAAGACAGCTGAAGAAAAAAACTTGATCAGGATATAAATCAGGTTACAAAGATGCAAAACAAAGGCAACAGTTCAATTCTCCACGAAAACTAAAAAACCAATACCTTGTAGCTTTCCACTTCTTGCCGAGAGGACTGAAGCTCAACAGAAAGGGAGTTCCTTTCAAGCTCAAAATCCTTCTGCATCCTCTCTGCTTTTTTCAAACAATCATTGATTTCATTTTGTAGCTTGAAGCAATTTTCTTGTAACATGCTTACCTGTTAGGAAAACAATCTCAATTAAGACCAAAGGACTTTAGGTGTTAGATCTTTTGACAATTGAGAAATATTGGATCTTTCTTTTGAAATTAACACAGAAATATTACTTGTTAGCAAAACATTCTTTAATATGGTTATATTTGTAAAGCACTTTATACTTAATATATCAGATTACCTTTTCAGTGAGTTCCAAATTAATGACTTTCACCGACTCCAAATTATGCTTGTGCTGTTTTAAATCGTCTTCCAGAGAATTTATTGTGTTTTGCATCACTTCTGCCTTCGTTGACATTATCTGTGACCTTTGCTCCCACTCCGTTACAATTGTCTGTAGACAGACCTTTTCCTTTTCCAACTCCTCCTTTTCAACTTTTAAACTTGTCAGCTTCTCTTCTGCAGTCTGCCTCAGCACTTGCAGATCAACCACTTCTTGTTGCAACTGGTCATTTACTCCAGTGCTCTCAATCAATTTCAGTTGCTTTGCCTCACAATCTTGAGAAAGAACCTGATTTAGGGATTTCACGTCTGCAAGGGTCTTTTCAGCTTCCTGGAGTTTCTGGGATAACATGATATTTTCATTTTTAAAACAAGATAACTGAGAATTTAAATCATTTTCTTTTAACTGCATTGACATAACCTCATCTTTGCTTAGCTGCAGCTCATTACTTATTTCTTTTACTTTTGATTCACATGTTTTTGCCGCATTTTCTTGATTAGTTTTAGCTACTTTGACTTCTTTTTCAAGCACTTCCAGTCTCTCAGAAGCTGCACTAGATGAGATCTGCAGCTGTACAACCTGTTCATTCTTACAGAGCAACTCCTTTTCCAATTTCTCCTTTACTGCCTTCAGATCATTAATTTCTTGTACTTTACATTCTATTGATTTTGTTAGTTCCTTCTTTTCAGGGGCTAAAATTTCAAGCTCTGCTTTAGCAGACTCTGCCTGAAGAATTGCATCTTCCAGACTTGTTTCGGTCATCTCTCTTTCCCTTTCAAGCTTTTCGATTTTGTCCACGAGAACATCAGCTTTCCTCTGGCTTGCTTTCAGCTGTTCACCCACGTGCCGTTTCTTTTTCTCATCTGCTTCAATTCTCACCCTTAGTTTCTCAATGCCTGCACGCATTTGGGTTACCTCTTCCTGAGTAGAATTCAACTTTGATGCAATTTCACCCTTTTCACATAGGGATGACTCCAGCAACTGGGACAGCTTTGAGTTTTCATTTCCTAGCTCTTGTACTTTGCTCTCAAGAACTTCACACTCTGTTGAGACTGAAGTTTTTTCTTCCTTAACTTCATTCAATACTCTAAGCAACTCTTGATTCTCCTCTTTCAGTAACACAACAGTCTGTTCCATGTTCTGAAGCTGCTGCAAAAGTTTATCTTTTTCGCTTTGCAGGTTATCAAGGCTACTGTTGGCCAATTCTCTTTGACATTTTTGATTCGTTATATCTTTCTCAAGGATCTTTATAAACTCCTTGGCATCAACGTTATCCTTTTCTAGTTGTTCAGCTTTTCCTTTCCACCTCTGGAAATCACGTTCAACTTCTTCCTTTTCCTCAGTGCACAAGGACAAATCTTGATGCAGCTGATTTCTTTCATCTACAGCCCCTTTCAGCTGTTGTTCTAAACTTTCAATTGCTTTCTTACTTAAGTCAAGCTCTTTCTGCAGCTTCTCATTCTTCTGCTGGATCTCTTCAAACTCTGCCTCCAAAGACAAGATATGTTTTTCCAGATTAGCCTTCTCAGATTGAGTCCTTTTCAGATCACTTTCAATCTGAAGTAACTTTTCATCCCAGCCTCCTTTAGCCATTTCCAGACTTTCCAACAAATTGGTTACATCAGACAATTGCAATTTTGATGTCTTTAACTGCAAATTTAGGCTATTAAGCTCTTCGTCCAGTTCCCTTACATGTTCATCAAGTTTCTGGTTCTCCATAACAGAGACACTTAGTTTTTGTATCAAATTTGAATTTTCTTTTTCCAATTTTTGGAACTTTTCTTCCATTTCAGCAAACAAATCTGTTTTTGAAATTATTTCAACTTTATTAAGATCTAACTGTGAGCATAAAGTCTGAACATCATTCTCCAAATTGCCCTTTTCATTGTTTTCTTCCAAATCTTTAAGACATTCTTGCAACACACTGACTTGTACATTTTCTGTGCTTGTTTTGGTGGTATGCAAGTCATCCTCTACTACAGAAGAATCATTTTCCAGAGTAAGAATTTCCACTCCACTTAAAAGTCCATCAAATGTATCATTAATGGCTGTGTTGCTTCCTGCTACCGAATGCTCAACCTCTTCATTCACATTGGGGTTGTACTGTTGTTCAGTCGACTCTAATATTTCAGTCTTCAATTCTTCAGGGTCTTTCTCTGGAGAAAGGCATTTTATACCTCCCTTTTCAGTGTTGGCCTACACCAGAAAACAAATATTATTGTTTTAGATTATTGACAATATATAACATTTATTATAAAAAAACATGTATTATAAATCTCAAATAATATTATTAAGATAAAGCAAGTTCTTTTTACTTGTAACCCCAACACCACTTTATACTTTATAGCAATGCAAAACTGTACAAATGGTCTGACAGCCAAAACTTTAAGAGTCTTGAATGATTGGTTCTACTTTCAAACTCAGGATTCTGAGCTTTTCAGCTAAGCTAGACCTAACAGATAGTACTGTACCCAACATACAAAACAACTCTCAAATACTAAATAAAAGCACTAAAATGCATTAACATAGAATTTTGGCATTTAAACAGAGTAAAGTCACATTTGGAAGTGTAATAGTAAAAAGTGTGAGAAATTAAATCTAGGGAAGTTGTGTTTAGTTTTAGTAACCATATCATAGAAAATATATTAGAGCCTTAGAAAGAGTTGAAAGAGCAACAAATATTATTCTTGGTCTCAGGTTACCGTATAATATATGGAATTGTTGAGGGAGATAAATCTTTACTCTTTAGGACAAAAAAAGAGGAGATTTTATCCTAGTACTCTAAATGCTTCAGAATTCTAACAGGTATTGATAAATTCAAATTAGGTTACTGTTTCACACTCAATAGTGAAACAAGAAGACAGAGTCACATTTGGAAAATCAAGGGGAAGGACAGGGAATAAGAAACACTTCTTCACCCAGAGTTATGGGTGTCTGGAACAGACTCTCCAGTCAGGTATCTGAGGCCCAAACACTCTAGGCACCTTAAAAAAATGGCTGGACAAAATTTTAGATTCACTACTTACTAAACTACCAACAAGTTCTCCCCTTTTATTTGCAAATCAAAGAAAAGAGTACTAAGTGATTGATTAGAAATATATAAGCATAAATACATAAACCTTTCACTCTCTGATATACTGTATATGGATTAACAAGCTTGAAGTCTTCTGTTTAAATATGCAAATGTAGAGATTTTACCACAACAGACTTAAAAACAGTATTTTTTTCCATTGGCATTTTTCCATTATTATTAGTACCGATAAGTATAAAAATGTAACAAGTTCAGTTATGTTTTTTGAAGAATTTAACAAGTTGTATAACAATTACTATGGGAAATTTAAGAAATAGCATTAGCTTTTCAATTTGCATGCAAGCTTTCACGTGATCACAAATAAGCATTTTAAGTTTAATCCTTTAACCAGTTGACAACAAATGCTGATGTATAATGCAGTTAAAACAGTTTATTTATAGCAAACCCCTGCCCTAATTAGATAAATTGTGCTGGTGGGAAAATGAAGGAAGCTGGATTGCATAACATTAGATTTGTCTTCAATTAAACTTCACTGAAATCACTTACAGAAGACTAATGATGAACAATGAAATACCTTACCTGGTGGAACTCTTCATCATTCTCAGAACACAGGAGAGAACGGGAGCTCAGGTCTAGACATTGCATCTGCAGTCTTGCAGTCTCCAACTCAGAAGACAAAAACTCACAATTCTGTTTCTCCTCTGCAAGTCTGGTCTCCATTTCTGCATTCAAATCGACCAGCTTCTGCTGCCACACCTTTACTTCATCTAGATGATGCTGTTGGAGTTGATCAAGCTCATGTTGTACTCTGGACAAGGCAGCTTTCAGCTCCTCGATCTCTTCTTTTGAAACTTCTTTCTGTCTATCCATTTGTTCTTTCAAAGTCTTCAAAGAGTCTTCATAGGTTTGAGAGAGCATTTTTAGTTCCTCAGACTTTTTTAGGAGCTCACTCTCCAATGGGCACAAATCATTGTGTGTCCTGCATAATGGACCATCATCATGGACACAGGTCTGGAGTTCTGATGTGTCAGCTTTCAGCTTCTTGTGGATTGTCTCTTGAGTGAGCAGAGCTTTCTCTGCCTGAAGTTGATCAATAAAGCATTGTTGCTTAGATAGGTTTGATAAGCTATCATATTGGCATTCAGAACTTATTTGGCAGCTTTCAAGATCTTTATTCTGCATTTTGAGCTCTTCAGAGCATTTGCTTTTATCATTTTGCCGGTCAAGCATGGATTTCAATGTCTGATTTTCTTCTTGTAGTCTTAACAGAGTTTCCTCAAAGCTAAAACTGCTGTTCTTTATTAAGATTTTATTCTCTTCAAGAGCATTCAAGCACTGATGTTGTGATTCAGTAAGCTTAGTTTTCAATTCTGTCTTTTCTGCTACCCAATTACTATAGGAATTTTCAAGAACTGTATATCTTTTAACTTCCTCATCCAGGGAAAATTGAGCTTTCTCATTTGTAGCCTGCAACATTTCAACTTTAGCAGCAAGAGCAATATAACTTTCATTCATGCTTTTGCTGGATTTTTGGGCATCCTCCAAAACTGCTTTGGTGAGTAAGGCCTCACGTTCTTTCTCTGCAAGTTCTTCCCTGGCAGAGTGCAACGTTTTCTGCAGAGAAGACTTTTGCAACTCATTTTCCTTAAGTTTTCCCTCAAGGATACCTAAGGAATTTTTAAGTTGTTCAAACTCACTTCCTTCACAAACACAATTTTTCTGATTATCCTCAAGATCCATCTGAAGCATTTCAAGCTGAACATTAATTTTGTTCAACTGTACTTCCTTTTCCTTTAATCTGTCAGAAATTTCTATCTGTTTCAATTCTGCGGCACTTAGCTTAGCCTCAAGCATTTCAATCTTCAGGTTTCTTTCTACTATACAGTTTTCAGAAATTAATAACACACTTTTCAAAGACTCCAGATCACTTTGGTGAGTAGATACCTGCTGTTTCAAAGTCTCTTTTTCTTGGGTGATCATTCTATAGCAATCTTGCATTTTTTTTAGCTCTTCATTACAGATCACATTATTCTTTTTTAGCTGGCTTATTTCATTTTCTGCCATTTCTAGTTTCTCCATTGTATTTTCAACTTCATTGCTTTTATTTTGCAGCTGAGACTGTAATGCATCTTTCTCCTGGAGTAGTTGCATTTGCTTATCTTCATAACCCTTGAGCATAGCAGCATGTTCTTCTGATTCGTCCCTATATTTTTTCTGAAGTTCCACTAATTCCTTATCCTGGGAAAACTTTTTATATGATTCTTCCCTCAGACAAATTTCTAAGGTTGAATTCAGCTCCATAACAGAAGTATATTTGCCCTGTAGGTCTTCTAAAGAGCTTTTAAGTTGAGCACACAACTCATTAGCAACCCCAAGCTCATTTTTGTAAGATTGTATCATCTCTGCAGAAGCATCTTCTTTCTCTCCTACTAAATCATTTAGTCTATATATTTCTTTCAAAAGACTGTCTTTCTCTTGGCACAAGATGTTGTGAGAGTCCTCTAGACTTCGACTCCTCACAGTAACCTGTCCAATTTCTTCTTCCAGAGTCTGTAGTCTAGCTTTGAGCTGTGCATTTTCATCTTCTAATCTGGAAGACTTCAACCCTGTTTCCTCAACTGAATTTTTAAGCTCCTCAACACTTGCTTTGAAGACCTGCAATTGAGTTACTTTGCTTTCAAGCTCCTTCGTCAAATTTTGCAAAGAAGCTTCCTTTTCCTTAGCTGCTTCGGAGAAAAGATTACACTGCTCTTGTAGAGACACTGAAGAACTGGCTTGTTCAGACAGCAGAGATAATTCTTGAAGAAGTTCTTTTTGGCTTTCCTCAGCCTGTGAAAATTTAATCTGCAGTTCACCTTTAACTTTTGAAAGCTCTTCACATTTGCTCTGTAATTCAACATTAAGGTTTTTTTGAAGTTTTAAAGAAGATTCTAATGAAGACACTTGATCCTTTAAGAGTGCTGCTTCCTGTTGACTCTTTTCAAAGTTCAGACTGGCCTGCTGAAATGCTTGTTCTTTTTCATAGAGACTCTCTTCGTGTGCTTTAAGTAAACTACACCTTTCCGTACTGAGCTTTTCTAGCTGTTGCTCATGTTGGGACAATGCCTGAGAAATGGTGTTCTTTAAGTGTAAGATTTCTTCTTCCTTCAGATCAATTACAGACTCTTTCGATTTTGCAAGATTGCAAGCACTTTCATACTGTAGTATAAATTCATTGTAAGACTGTTCCATTTTGTCAGCTCTACAGGTCTCCAATTGCAGTTTCATTTCCAAATTTGATGCCTTTGCTTGGAGTTCAGTAATCTGCAGGTTGCCATTCTCTAAATCTTTTGTATACTTTAGATTATCCTCCTCGGAGCTTTTCTGAAGTTCTTCATACACTTTGCTCTTTTCTTCTAATTCCATACACTTTTTAAGAAGTTCACCTTTTAAAGAGTCAGTCTGCTCTGTCAAATCTTCCTTCTCACTTTTAAGACTATTCACCTTTTCATTTAGGCCACAGCTCACATTCTGAATCATCTCAATATTTTTTTCCAAATCACCAATTTTATTTAACATGTGTTCTCTTTCAATCTCTACACTGTTTACAAGATCTTCCTTTTCAGTCTTCCATTTGGAAAGGAAATCATTCTCCTTCTTTAATTCAGTGCATTCATTCTGCTTAGAATCCAGAGCAATTTGCAGTGCCTGCTGTTCTTTCTCCATAACAGTCTGCTTACTTTTCATTTGTTCCAGGTCCTGTTCTTGTTTCTTTATTTGGTTCTGAGCCATTTCTTTAATTTTTTCAAGATCAGACACTACTTTTTTCATGTTTTCCAACTCCAACGCTGAAGACTGATCTTGGTTTTCCATTTTAACTTGAAGACATTTCAGTTCTTCACTTTGTGCAAGAGTTTTAGCTGTAAATAAAAGTAATCTCTTTCAAAAAAAGACAAAGGGAGTCTAAGATTTTTAAAACATGTATAATCCTGAAAGAAATTCTTAATAGAATGCTATACTAAACATTAGTCATATTTAACGTGAAATGATTGCTATACACATCCCACTTTAAAATAAAATTAATTCATTTTAAGGGTAAATCATATATCGCATGCATGCATAAGAAAATTGGAATTACCAATACATTAGCATATTGGTAACCTTTTTATATCATAATACACAATATATTTACTGTACAGTATATAATGTCAAAATTCATTTTTGATTTTTTTACACTCTGAAATTCTGAGGAAAAACCAAAAGTGTAACTACTTCTATTCACACTACCTTTGAAGTAATAGATTTGTAAAAGTCACTTAATTGTCGATTTTGGTGTAGAAAATTAATCACTTAATTTTTCCATCTTTCTCTCAGCAATTTAATTGAAAACCATCAATATTTCCAAAGATCAAAAAACACCATTCAAGATGTGTTTCCATGTTCTAGAAGAAACCTCACCTTTAAAGTCTTCCATCAAGCTATGGCTTTGTTTGAGATTTTGTTTTGCAGCTTTCAGTTCTTCTTCTACTTGAGTCATTCTCCTTGAACTTTGCTCGAACTGACAGCTAAGACTGTTTTTTTCTTTTTGGATTCCCTACAAAGGTGAAATTGAATTTAAAACAAATACACATTCACAAATAAGTACATTTCCTACAAGTGGGAATAATGTAGCTAATACAAATGCATGTGCACAGGCAGAGGTAGAGAGTCATATCATTCAAATTTACATGAGGAAAACTAAATTTTATTTACATTCATGTCAACATTATAAAAGCCTATACTTTAATTATACTTATTAGACACTTAACTAATTTCCTTTAAACTAAAAATATATCATGCAATCCTAGCCCCTCTAAGTAACCCCACACAAATTTTGGTTACAACCAGAAAAGATTACAACTCCTACCTCAAAGTTCTTTCTCATTTCATTCTCTTTCGTCTGACTAGTTTGTAGTATCTGCTCCGTCCTGCATAACTTCTGCTTAAGATCTTCAACACATTTTTCCAGGTGATGCTTCTGCTGCACTATCTATGAATTAAAAAACGTGAGAATAAACTATGAACTCCTCCGAAATGTAATGCCACCTGCTGGTAATCAGTTAACATCCATCCCATTTTCTGTGTGAACGTTTCTTGGAAAGGTCCCACAGAAAGATTCACTGCCACCCGTTTCATCATAAGCAGCATTTAAATAGTTTATTTGCTTTCGTGGAGTATTAAAACCTGTTTTTGACCAGCCCACTAATTCTCTTCTGAATAATTGTGTGGGAAAAATATTACTAACTACAATTCCTAACTATAATGTGAAGCTTTCACTACTAGAGAGGCTCAAAATTTAGAGAAGCTAAAAAGTTTAACCCAAAGAAGAAGAAAATAGTTTGCCACCGTGAAATAAAAAGCTGAGGAATGATGATATTCTACATATGAAATCTTTGCTCTTTCACACCTTATCCATTTCAGCCTGAAGGGCATTGTAATCACTTTTGGCCAGCTGGAGCTCTTGGCTCATCTTTGATTTCATCTGATGAAACTCTTGATCTAGACTGCGAAGGGAATTCTGTTGATGTACCAGCTCCTGGAAAAACAAAAATCTTAAGTGAATCAAATGGTACCAAACAAATTAGAAAAATTTAATATAGATTGTAACCAGCAGGATTAAATATGAAAATGTACATATCACATGTGAAAATATCACATTTGTAGGAACTGTCAAATGTTGGGGTTAACATTTTGAAATATTTTTATGAATATTTTTCATTATGCTTTTATGAGTTACAAAGATGTTAAGATTTGTTTATTAAATGAATGCCATGATGCTAATGTGAGCTATCCAAAAAGGCCAAGATTATATCTATCTTGACAAATGACATATTCTATCAATACCTAAAGTTTTATTACTGAACTCGGAAATGAAATTACAGCTACAGTATTTTCTTTAAAAGGGCATTCATGTTTAATGGGCTCGTGACAAGAAAAACATCTGAATCCCAGGTCAGGATAACAGGCTGTACTGCAGCAAGCACTTTGATCAGACCTTCTGGTACTCCTTTTCATGGTCCTTCATCTTCTGCTCCAGGGCAAGCCGCGAGCTATCAGCATTGTGTCTCTGACAGTTCAACTCCTCAGACAACTGCTTCAGTTTCTGTTCGAGGGCTGCACACTGAGAGAGACAGAAAACATGATCAGGATACAAAGAATAGATCTTTAGTTTCTTGACATAAATATTTATACCCTTTACTAGAAGTGAGTGCTACAAACAAAATGACTATTTTAGCTTTTACAAACAAGAAAATGAGACATAACACGGTATTGGACTATTTTGTTTTAAGGCTTACTTGCACTTGTAATGTTATTGGAACTTGGTGTCTGGTGTAGAGGATGGCCATGACTCATGATGTGACTTTTCATAGGTGTGGGCAATATATCTGCACATATTCACGAGGAAATGATAATATGGTCCTTTTTAGTAATCCACAAAGCCTGGTACATGCATTTACAATGGCTGTAAGAGGGGGTGGTATTACAAAGACAGCAGTACACATCGGATTAAAACCATTTCAAACGAAAGAGGGGCATTACATAAGGACAGCATTACAAAAGTTGGAAAATGCATTTGCTTGAAAGGGAGAATGCTGAAATTGATCATGATGAACACTAAAGACAACAGATCAAAGTCAATTCAAAGCACAATATTTTCAAATTCTGGCAATGAGACAAAGCATTTTTGTAGGATGAAAATGTGTTCACATAAGAAAATGATTATCCAAAGTAAAGGAAAATTCTACACTACCAGACACATTTAGGGATACATTATAGAAAACGTATAAAAATGATCCTATTTAAACCAAATCAATTGCATGAAAACCAGATTGATAATATTAATATCATCAAGAAAAACATCATGATACACTATATTACCCTATTCTATCCTCCACTAATAGTTTTTTAACATCAACAGTTTTATTAAAATGTATCAATGTTTACGCTAAAGTAAATGATCACAACACCAAGCATTTAAATCTAAACAGTAAGTAACTAACCTCTTTGAAGCAAAAATAACTAAAACTGTGAAACTCATTGACGTTTTTCTATAACCCATATAAAAATGTTACAATTATACAGTGTTATTTTTAAATAATCTTATTCTTCAAAATACACAAGACAGCTGTAGGTACCTTTAAGGTATAATTTAATTAGTATGAAGTATAACCTTCATAAAATATAAAACCAAAATGTAAAAAATACACCTTTCCACATACCTTGGAAGTGGCTTGTTCATACTGTCCTGTCACCCTGGTCAATTCATCCCTGCATTTATTTAAGTTTTTGTCTTTCTCTGCAAGTTCCATCTTTGCTTTTTCAAAGCTGATTTGAATTTCATGCAGCTTGTTCACGTGGTTTTTCATATCTTTGTCTTGGGCCTGAAGACAAAGTTCCATCTCTGACACTTTGGCTTTCAGATCTGAAAATTTTAAAATTAATACAGACAACAAAAAACGGATTTACTTTAAACAGTGTACTTTATTACTTGATAAGAATTACCACTATAGTTCCTGTGTTTAGGTACGGCGACTATCTTTTAAAGAAGATAGTTGACAAGATGTTATAATCAAAATGGCAACAGCAATTCAACCTTGCAATGTTCTGAAAAAAGTAAAAACTGGACCTAGCAAGTACTTGAATGAAAGTTAAAAGAGACACAAGATAAAAGCAATACCTTGCCCTTTGACCCAAAAAGTAATGTACTTCCATGATTTTAGTAGAACCAGACTCTTTTTAGGAAAGGTAAACCAATTGGAACTTTAGATAACGTAGCACTCTTCAAAATCCAAAGTGATAAATCGCCTTATCCAGTTAAGGTTAATACTCTAGCTAGCACATCTAAATCATCCTCATTTTGACTAATTCCAGCATTTGTTTTTAAATGTACTTCATATATTATATATAATGGTATATTACATATATTCACATACAGTATCTGTTTGTGAATATAGCACACTAGCTATAATGTGCTATGTTTTACAGCTGGATGAAAACAGTCCGGTCATTAGTATTAAAGGCTTTGAAAACCTGGTTTGCAATGAAAAACCTACATAGATAGGACAGTTTGACTGAACAGAATTTTGTTCAGGCAATTCAACATCAGTTTTAAAACCCCAGCATAATGGAAATGGTATTCATCACTTGTAAAATCCAATGTAATGTCTCAAAGCCAAAGGACAAACCTTGATTCATTGCTTTCAGCTGTTCACTTTGCTGAGAGCTGCCTGCATTGTCATGCAATGTGCTTCTGGAATTTCGCTTGTATGGAGTTTCTTCATGGTCCCAGAGGAAGCTGGAAGCTCCAATCCCCCTTTTCAAAGGGGTTTCCAGGAAGCTGTGTGACTGTCGGCTTGGCGTTTGGTCTTGTTGCCAAGGAAATATCGAGGATTGTGTCTGCTGTCTTGCAATGTCCTTATGACTTACTGACGACTGGTTTAATAACTAGTCCGGAAAAAAACAATGGTGGCAAGATGTATTGAGCATTAATACAAGAGACCACAATGCAAGAAATCAATATATACTGTAATTTCCATTTTTGAATACATTTCTAAAATATAGTGTACAAATATGAATTTATTAATGACACAAAAGTCTTACAATAATTCCACACTTGGAATTTTACAATAATCTTCTGTATAATCACAAATTAAACCAACAACACCTGCAGAGTATAACAGTACTGATTCTCCTTTATCCGCTCCCTAGAGAAACAAGCAATGTGGTTCTAGGACATTATGCTGCAAGATGACCCACATACTTACTACTACAAAGCTCTGCAGGACTCTTCACTGTCCCAGCTCAACCATCTGAGCCAAATTAGTACCAGAGATATGTACAGTAAATCCCAGATATTCCAAGCAGCAGTAATGTAAGAATTCAATCTATGCCATTAGCTGTGCTATTACTTTTCAAATGAGCTTAATTATAAGCAATTAAAGTCACTAATACAATGTAACACAATTTTGCCATTCTATATACTGAAAGCATTTTAGTATTTTAAAAAAACTTACTTTGATTTGCATAACTTTCAGCTCTGCTTCCAGTTTTTGTCTTTCTTCCACTTCTTTATAATATTTCTCTTGAATTTCTTCCAGTTTTGAATCTGGAAAAAAAAAGCTTCAGTTTTATTTCCAAAAGTTCATTTCCACAAACCCTGTAGTAGAGATCTATATTTTAATTTCATATCTAAAGGATGGCAACAATGTCAAATTGTCAAATGTACCATGTAGCTTTTGGCTTGGTGTGGCAGGAGTTGCAAAGCTTTTCTGTGGTGTTCCATATGATTGTTGATCTCCTGCTGCAACCGACTGCTGGCTCCTGTCTAGTTCAACCTTGTTCCTATAGGGAAAAAAAATGACAATACCACTTAGGTACCATTCATAAACATTTTAGATGTATTCCTGAATAAATGAAACAAGTATTTGAAGTATGAACTATAAATTAAGCTCACAATTAAAACCTCGTGTTGGTGTTCATCTTTTAGGAGTACTGTTCTAGGCAAGGAACAGGTAACTATTACGACCAAAGGACTGCAATATTTAACTCAACATTACCAGAAAGATGGAATAGCTTTAACTTGATGTGTTCAAGTGAAATATTCTTTACTCAGTGAAATATGTATATTCATAAAATTGAAAATAAAAATATTTATATTCAATTGTGTGAACATACGATAGCCAGAATAGTCATAATCAGAATTCACTTTTGCCTAAATTGTTATTCAATGTCACGATAGAACACATCTGTCATAACCTCAATTAGCTAAAGGCTGATGCTCTCCCAAGATTATATATCACCAGGTCAACAGATTATTTCCAAATGCAAATCTGGCAACATGTAACTGCGAGTCTCCAGAATCTCTCTTCTGAGAGGAACAGCTCGGTGCTATCCCTATGGAATTCTGTCACCTGCTGATCTGTGACAGCCTGAATTCATGCATCTGTATCTAAGCCACAAACTCAGACTTGTCACTTGGCAACCAATTAATATTTACCTTTGGAATCTAGGTTGAAAAAAAAAATGCACTGTAACTTCTATTTTTAATATGTTTACCAGAAGGATTTTTTGTGCATTAACAGGAGGTGGAATTGGAACACAGTATTTCTTCTGAGTAATGTAGAATGATGTACCTCTTAATCTCTTGCTCCAGTTTTTCGATTTGTTTCTTGCTGGCAGCGAGCTGCCCCTCCAAGTAGTTGACTTGCTGTTCCTTTACCTGCAGCTCATGGGTAACCTTTTGCCTTGTCTTTTCCAGGTTGTCACAGGACTCCACCAAAGACTGGTTCTCTCTTTTGAGTGCTGTTACTTCATTCTTCTCTACTTCCATCTTTTGGGATATGCCAGAAAATGTTTTTAAAACACTGAGAAGAAAACACTGAAAAAACTGTATAATCTCTTGAATTCTTACTTGGGGGAGAACTAAAGAACACAAGTGGAGTAAATAACCCAAGAAACTCCAATTTAATGTTACATGCATTTTAAATATGTTAAATAACTAAATCACAAAGACTATGATTTCACTTCAGTCTGGGTCTCTTAACTATCTCCAAACTATTGACATGTAATAAACAATTATTAATGATAATTTCTATAATTACATGCACACAGCACTTGCCATTCAAAAGGATCTCAAAGCACCTTATCCACATCTATTAAGAATAATATGTAATTCACAAGATATTTATAAATAACATTTAGAGTCCCTAACCAGTCTTTTATAAGTAGCTGTACTACTCGTTTCTTCCTGTTGAACCCCTGAAAAATGGGCTTTGTGCATGTCTTGTCAACGTGACACACACCAGGCTGGACAGGCGAAACCATGAAAGCTGCAAAACGAGCAGCAGTTCGGCAGAAGGGACACAGAGGACAAAACAGCTCCTGAACCCTAAAGCAGTTGCGATGCTTCCAGTTTCTTACACTCAATAACCCCCCCACCTAACGTGAAGGGGGGGGAGAGCAGGGGGAAGCACCTTTTGTTTTTGCTTCTGCAAGGCAGCCTCCAATGTTTCCAGCTGGAACTGCTTCTGCTGCCTCTCCTTTTTCAGCTTGTCTAGCTGGCTCTCGATTTCCTGGATTTTCTGGAGGGCTTTGCCAGGCAGCCCATCCTTCCACTCTTCCACTGCCCAGCTCATGCTGAGCACTCCAGGGCTTGTTGCTTAATCAGAAATGAATCAAGCCTGACCTGAAAACAAGTACAGCATGTTATTAAACGTTGAAAGGTGGCATTTACATTCCATTTCTAATCTGCCCTAACCAGCACCAGCCATGAAAGATTAGGCTACGATGTGTCATCAGTTATGCACTGCAGACACTGTTAGCTTAATTCGTGGAACTGGATGATAGCATTCATGAAATACATTTATTAGATGGTCACTTAAACAAGCATTTATTCACTACTTACTGTATTGCATAGTGAAATAACTATTACTTAGATTATTGAAACAAGATAAAGGGTACGAAAAATGGAAAAATAAAGTGATTAAATGGAATTCAACAACGGCAGATCATTAAAGACATTCTGATATTTGAACAATTGCTAAATGTATCTATTTAACTACATGGGTGGTGAACCAGCTTTTACAACCGTATGTTATCAGCAAAACTAATAATTGTGCACACGTTTAACGGTTCAACGAAGGAGACTAAATTATTCTGTCAATAAACATTCAAAAAGCAATCAAAAAAGAAAGTGCCTGGGCTATCCAAGTGCACGAAAATCAGAACATCAGACCGGTCTCTTTACAGATACTGTATACTTTATTAATGCTTGCACATTCCACGTACTAATATAAAAAATACATCAGTCCTGCCCACTCAGTGGTAACTAAGCAAAACAGGCTTAGCACCGTAACAGCCTGGGTTTCGAAGTTACAATTCGTGATCAGACTGAACGTCAGGATTTGTAGCTCTCAACCCTGGTCCGAGATGAATGACGCGTGTCTTCTGATTTAGGATCCAGCTGTGGGCTCATCGTACTAAAGTTTTCAATGCATGCACACTCAGTTTATTTCACCCGCCTTTCTTTGCCCTTTGCTACAAATAAAATGCATCATCTACTTCTAAAAAAAACACTTAAAATACAACTTAATCCCGAAAATATACTTCACTACTAAATGTTAACTTAAAAGCTTCATCACAAAACATTTTTATCAAAAACTGACTTACCTCACATTCATAAAAGCGGATAATCCTTCTTTCCCACAATTCAGATCTACACAACAACAAATTCAAATTTGATCACTAAGCTACGTCATTCCTTACTAGCTCTCTCATTGGCTACAATGTGGAATACGCTCTTCGATTGGTCAGTTTGGTGACAATCCGGCATAGTGGTATGTGATTGGGTCGAGACCAACGATTTAAATAGGAAACCGCCTTCTGCTCATCCCTATAGGCTACTTGCAAAGGAAATGCTTGTTGATTGGTTTAGTCGTATTGCCACATCTTATGTCATTTCTGTAGCAAGGTGGCGGTTAAATTTTAATTTTACTAACAAATGGCTTTTGTGTGCTGTTTGTGTATATAAAAAAACTGTTGTTATTTAGTTATCATTGATGTAGAAAATAACTGGAAAAAGGCTCTGTTTTTGGTAACGAAGATATATTAGTCATGGTTTAGGACTAAGGGTTAAAATTGTGTCTGTTTTTTATGGGTACTTTCATTTAGATGCAATGTCACAAAAAGTGCCTTATGAAATTAAGTAAAGGACTTACACACGCACACATGAGTGCATATACAGTATACCTGTGTTTACAATATTTCCAGCCCGGTGATGTTCCCTACTCCTCCTAGGGCCCCAACTCTCATTTTCCTTATACATTTGTTCGTTACCAAAACATTACCCACTGCACTAAATAGATTTTGCCAGAGAGGGCTGCTCGAAGGCTCTTAAAAATGCAGCTAATACGGGTCTCAAACACCCTTATTCTTTCAGTCAGCTTCCCTGAAACTAAAGACAATACTTTAGAAGTTCACTCTGGATATTAAATAAAGAGCTGTTGATAACGTTTGTGATCACTGGCCACAAACCCAAAGGTTCTCATCTCTGTTTATACTGTCTTTGTTGTTGGAGTATAGATTCTATGAGAAGAATTATTTCTCGACAGCTCCTGAACGCTATTTCTAACGCTGTATTTGAAAATAATTCACATTCTGTAATAGAGAGATAAAGAAAATATAGAATAAATTAAAAGTATTGGGGGTACACGGCTTTTGTATTGTACTTGGAAATAACGTTTCCTTTGTGAGCGAAGTCATAAACGAAAACATACGGTAGTGTTAAAGCTTCTTGCACCACATAATGGATATTTGACTGAAGACGAATACAACGAAACCATGGATTACAAAAAATAACTGAATTGTGTTGTATGTATGAATTTCTTCATATTAAACACTAATTGCATTTTCAAATTTTATGACACTACTGTCTGAAGCGTGAATATTGTTCGTCCATATTAGGAGAAACATTGAAATAAAATGAACCGGGCCATTACATAACTTGCTCATAGATATTTCTTAAGAAGACCACAAGATGGCGGGGTTCAGCTATCTTTGCGACATTTTACAACGTTTTCTTCTGCCTAAACAAATCTCAGAAAATGTTGAAAGCAAATTATAAGGGAAATGCTGCATTTAAAATTGAAGGGACTCACTTTTAAAATTAAACATCAAATACCTCAAAGGCCTATCTACATAAAAGCATAAAATTGTTTCTAAAGACTAGAACAATGAACAGCCATCAAAGATTAAGGCCAGTTATCCCTCAAAGTTGAGACGTTTTGAAATCCTGTGTTTATCCAAGATTATTTACAACATATAAATACGTCTTTTTATCTGACCACTAAACAATAAACAAACAACAAAACTGACCAAATAAATATATATTTGATCAGGCCTATACAAGTTGAGTACATAAGCTGATTTTAGTGACTCTAGACACCTAAGGACTCTGTTTTGTCAATTGATAAACAAAACCTCAAGTCCAACACATAATGCCAACCTATCCTGTCCTATAGAAGTAAATTCAATCACCGGACCTCCAGGTGGTCTTCTGTGGTAGCTATGACAGTGAGAGGTGTCTATGATTGATTTCTAGAATTATTTTATGCTTCTTAACCCCTATGCGTTTCTTTGACCCCACACATCTTAGGGTTTTTAATGAAACAGTTGCTAGTAGTGTACAATGGATGTGAATAATGCCATTGGCTAGAAATAGTTTTAGTTTTGAGTTTTAAAAGTAGCAGACTCTTGTACAAATTGCACAAAGAAAAAAATAATGTACATTTCATCATCTTAGTTTCACATCTCTAAGGTGTTCTATTTAAATGGAAAAATGAATGGAGCCTTTAGTGTTTGTTCATGTACTGTATAGCAGCCTGTAACTTTAAAAACATAATCTTATAATCACTAATAGTTAAATTCAACAAGTTTTGAACTTCTTGCAAATTGTTTATTGTATAAATAAGGTATAACATTCATAACCTTTTGCTGCTTGAATTTTTTGACTGCGCCCTGCAGGTCCTGGTTGCAGATAATACTGTATTGCCTGTTTGTGCCTTGGTTATACCACTGCAATCAAGATTTGATTAGTTAGTATTCAATAAATTCCTGACAGCTACAGAATTACTGAAGACTTTGTGTGCTGAAACTGTTCTTCCTCCTAATTAATAGGAAGACTAAGCTAGGATTCCAGCTTCTGGAATGCAAGACTGACTTTATACTGCCAGTTTAAATTGTTAAAGAGGCTTCTGGACTGTTTTTTATTATTACTAGTAGTATTATTATTAGTATAAGTACTATTATTATATCCAGGGTGACTTGTTTTTTCAACCTATGTGCATGTACAAAAGGAGTAGATACAAGTTACAAAAAAGGCCGAGTTCAATTCAATTTTATTAAAGGAAAGGACAATAAAACCAGTGTAGAAAGTGCAACTTGAGTACTGCACAAAATAAAATTTAAAAAACGTGTCCTGCTTTGGCTGGCAATTTCGAATTGGGAAATACACTGGGATTCTTTACAAAACAATCACAATCATATATCACTTACAATAATGGGTAGGCGATTTTTGGAATAACAGGGGACCCGGCAAAACCCGGCAATATGCTACAGGGGTCACGTCACATCAGTTTTCTTATGTCCATTCACAGTCACGAGAATGATTTTGTTGTGCTTAGGATTGAGAATGGTACCTTAATGGGTTATTTTGCTTCACTTATATCAGTTGTCTGTTTTTGCATTTTAAATCAACTGGGTTGTTGGTAAACTGGTGAAGGCCTTAAAACAGACACATGGGTCAAAAGAATTAGAAAACTCATCAGATGGAGTTGAACAGGGCTGAGCTACTGTGGGCCCGTTATGTTGTTATGAATCCTAAGGTGCTATGAAAAAAGCAAAAACACAAGTAATATTTTAGACACTCCAAACTGAAATCCATCTACAGTGTGTGCCTAACAGCGTATATATATATATCCTGTTGTTTATTTGAGCTCCTCAAAAAACACTCATTTAATAACATTGTATTAATATTGTTATGGAAAAAAATAGAGGTTAATTCAAGGCTGAAAAGTAAAGAAAATGAAGATATACTTTTCAACTTTTCAGCTGTGGGGGAGCTCTGTAACCTGAAAAAGTCCCAGTCCCAGTCCAAAGTCAGATTTCTTTGGGCTATACTCAGCCATTCATCTCTGATGTTTTTCTCATGCCTGGATTTTTTACATAGTATGGAAAGCTTGTGCTTTCTTGTGCTCCACTCGAAGGCCTAACAAAATTATAGTGTAAAAACTGCCTTATTTTTTATGCAGTGTTACAGGTTCAGAACTGTTTCTTCATTCAATCTTTGGCTTTGCAAAAAAAACAACAACAAAAGGCCCCAGTCATCAGTTGTAGGAGCAAGCTGTCGTAGTACTTAATGGCTGGACAAGCCAAGACACATACTGTTAAAGCTTTACAGAGTACATCAGAGGTACAAGATACTGTTGATTGTCGCAAACAGGTACTGGAAAGGAGCCTCAGTAAAATTCATTTTGAAACATTTGAAATTTGACGTAGGTTTGGCACTTGTAAAGCTTTGAGGGTAATCAGCAATACTCCATCATTCATGCTGAAATATTCAACATTACTTTAGCAATATGGGCTGGCTATGCAGTAATAATCCTTTTAAGTTTCAAGAAGAAATTGATTCAGATACACAACGAAAAGCTAGTAAAATACCTTAGAAGCCAAGAGAGGAGCTTGTGAATTTGGCAGTGATAATAAACTGGTTATAAGAAAATAATATAAAAATGTGATAGGAATATTATTTCCTAATACTGAAAAGTTCGAATTTAACAACATAATTGAAACGCCACATTAGTCTCCTAGTCTAAATTTCGTTTAGCCCGACGCAGTGGTGCATAAAAGCTCCGGTTTTTGTTGGAGTGTAAGTGCTACTGCTATAGGTAGCCTAATAAAGTGGGAAAATATTGAGAAAAAAGCTTGATACCTATGTAACACTCTTAACAACTTAAATAGAGATGACTTTTTGCTTTAGGCGCTCGCGTAGAAAAATCGCTTTTGAAGAATCTCGGATCTGGCCCTGTAGATTGTTCTTTGCATTGTATTGTCTCCCTCGTAAACCATTAAGAGAGCTCCCACTTTTTCGTTTGCACCACATTCCTGGGATTCCACAATTCTGATGTCAGAAGGGACGGCTCACACTTCTATCTAAACCTATACGCTTCTCGCGTCTCTTGGGTGATTTCGTGGTTTAAAATTATCATATTCTAATTTTCAGATTCACGGGGAAGGAGATCGCAAACTGCGGATTACTGGGCGAGTTTTAGGCATACGCGCGTTTTATTATTATTATTTTTTGGTACGGAAAGAAAACTTTGGATTTTTAACCTTGGAGTAAAAGTAGATTTGAAGGCTAGAAAGAACGTATTGAGTCTTGGTGTGGAAAATTATCCACATTTAAAAGTTTTAAAACGACTTTTCTTTATTTTTCGGAAAGAAGGATCTATGCACAGTAAAGGAATCTTTTTTGGGATTGTGGAACCAGTTTCAAACTTCAAGATTTGGATATACAGGATATAGTGGGATTCCTGCTTAAGGGAAACATACAAAGAAGGCATGTAACGAGTCCCGGTGGGTATTTGTTATTGTTTTTATTTTTTGGTCTTTTGTTACTTTCTAATAAACATCTAACTGCAGAACACTTTTTTTTTCCTCGGCGAAGAACGAGTACACTCAATTAAGATTTTCCGGTTTTTGCTACTGCTTAATTTTCAAGGGAAAAGCCCAACACGTTAAAACAATGTTTCGTAGTTTATCGCGTTTTCCATAGCATATCGCCAGAAAAAGTAACAACGTTGAATAGAAAATATTGAAAACGTTGCATCTTACGAACAGTTTTCTCTGTTTCTATTTTTATAGCGTCGACATTATAGGGCCTTTTTTTTAACAAAATACCAAGGAAAATACGACCTGTGCTTCCTTACACGAGGAGTAACGTGTAATAAACCATTTCCCTTAATACCTAAGGCAGAACATTTTTATAAATTCAAAGCTTAGCCTCATTACACGTGTTGTATTAAAAAAACACCGTCCCAAACCTTTCATTGGCGTTAGACGGAAAAATGGTAATTGTTAGTTATATTCCCTCTCCTTGCAGAATACCTAGACTGCAGTTTGTAGCCTACTGTTAGCAGTTGCTAACGGCTGTTACTTTATGCAAGTTAACTATACTTTAAAGATGAGATAAGATTTAACGTCAAACCATTCTATAAAGCAGCATTTTAAAGCACCTAATAACATCTTCCAAGTTTTTCTTGGTTTAGATGTTTGAATCGTTTCCTTTAAGGCTGCATACCGTAATCAAAGGAAATTAACATTTTAAATCTAGGCAAAATAAGTTTAATGAGCGGTGTGAAATAGCGTTTTGGGTTCTATACTTGATGTTTGTGGGTTCAGATACCAGGTGGGATGCTGTTGTACCCTTGAGCAAAGCATTTCGCTCAGATTGCTCCAATAATATTCCCCAAAGCGTCAACCAAATAATACTTACGTTTAAGACACAATAGTCAGTTGAACCTAAATCAGTTAATTAAATACAATTTCAAATAGAGGGTACCTGTACTGTTGTCTGGTTCTGTTAGTCACAAGGTAGTGTGACGTCAAAGGTTATGAAGAGGATAGCTTGTGTTTTTTGATTCTCTGTACTGCTTGCAGCAGTTGCATATGTCACAAACGTACCTGAAGTTCATTGTGTTAATAACATTATAGAGTTATGCAGAATAAGTTCTGAAACTTTAGGAGAAGGCAAAATATCACAGCAGAAACAAAACCATACCCCAAAGAAACTTTGAGATGTAGTTTTCAGGGTTGGGCTGAATCTTCACTTCTACTAGTTATTTGAATGTTTCTGATATATCTTTAGTGAATAGCAGAAACCAAGTGTGCCTAGTTGGAAAACGGTTAAAATGTTTGTGTAACAACTTAGTAAAAAATATTTATGCTTCCTAAACTTACCTGTTTTCACTACTATGCCAAAGGTCTGGACTTTTCCTGCAGAGAAAAAAAGTGATTTGCTAACCAATCTGGTATTCCTGGACAGAGAACCAATCCCTGATTATAAAATACTCTGACAATTTAATTATAATGGGTTGTTTTATTTACATGTCCATCCTTTCCTTTTTTCAACCGCCAGCACTCTGCTTCTCAAATGCTTTTGATGTTTGAAATGGCAGCATTGACTGAAGAACATTTAAAGGGGCCCCCCTGTTTCCAACATTTCGCTTGCCCATGTCCATCTCTCAGCCTGTGTAGTTCTCGACTGCTTTGACTGTGATCTAGGTTGGGTGAAGTCAATATCATACATTTTAAAATCTATTTGTTCTTTACGATCTGAAATTGTAGTCTGCCCGACTGTGTGTTTCAGTTTTGTTTCATTGTTCAGCCAGACATAAAAGATTCACCTTGTCATCTCTCTTTCTTCTTATTGCGTTCTGTTATACTGAAAATCTTTAATTTAGGCTTGTGTGATCAAAAGATTTATCTCACTTAGATTTTATTAGGCAAGTGAGATAAGCTAGGTAAATCAATGTGAATTTTGTGTTGATCATTTTAAGTCATTTACTCTGTTTAAGGCCTCAAGTTATTGTTCCTTTATAGAGCTTTGCCATGTAACATACCTTGCATCAGTCTGCAGAATTACAGTTTGATGAATGAGTTTAACATGCTGCTTCTCCTTCTTTTGTACATCCTGTTGTATGAGCTTCAGGTGTTGGCCTTGAGTCTTAAGTATTTTTTCCTTAGTCTCCTGTTTCTTTTTCCTTTTTTTTGTTGCACTATGTTTTTTTGGACAGTTTTAAATTCTACAATGATTATGTTTTGATGGGATATTTCATTATGGACTGAAATACATGCCGAACTATTTCCCATTTGGATTAAATATTTGCATTGTCATTTATTATTTAAAATAAATCGGTGCAAGCTTTAACCTGGTAAATGTCATCTTAAAGAGAAAAGGTGACCAGAATTGACCAGAAAAATTACTGAGGTCAGTCTTTATGTGTAATACCTCCTTTGACTTATAGTTCAGGTGGGTAGCTGCGTCAGCATGCGTAGGCTGCAAAGGAACAAGTAATACTGTAGGTTTATTCCATGCTGAAAAAAAGAAGAAAGAGGACATAACGTTTCGGCTGTGGAGCCTTCTTCAGGTGTGACAGAGACAGGGCAGTAGGCAAAGGTAAAGTAGCGGGAGAACAAAGGTTGGGAGGGGGGAGGAGTGAGAGGCGGGAGCAGGGGACAGAAAGAGAGGCCAATCAAGAGGTGTGAAGTCAGAATGGGTGCAGAGAGGTGTGAAATGAAACTTCCAATGAATGGAGAACATTTAAAAGAACACTAGTCTGTCGTTAAGAGAAGGGAGAATGTGTGATCCTAGCTGCAGAATAATTTTGGTTTTGGTGGTCTTTCTGATGTATGAGTTCGGAAAACCGTCTTTGAGAACACAGACGGAGAGATTAGAGTGGTCATGGCCGTCAGAGGTGAAATGAGAAACAATGGGCTTGGAGAGATCTTTAATCTTCACAGCCCTGACGTGTTCTCTGAAGCGGTCTCCGAGTCTCCTTCCTGTTTCTCCTTTGACTTATGACAACTAGGGCATATATACGGTATGTCAGGGAGTCCCTGATTTACAGTTGATAAGTTGCCAGATGCAGGATAAGTGATGAACTTTATCCTAAATGAAGATGCTTTTTGTGTCCAATCTCTTCTCCTTTCCCCTTTCTAGTTGTTAAGGAGATGTCCCTCTCCTAGGAAGTATTTTGTGCTGTTTATGTCCATGATAAGGCCAAAATAACTTAAATAAAATCAAATCTACATTAGCAGCCATATCACCCTGCAACTCACAACTGGCAACCCACTGAAGCTAAGCAGGTGTGAGCCTGGTCAGTACCTGGATGGGAGAACTCCTGGGAAAAACTAAGGTTGCTGCTGGAAGAGGTGTTAGTGGGGCCAGCAGGGGGCGCTCACCCTGTGGTCCATGTGGGTCCTAATGCCACAGTATAGTGACGGGGACACTATACTGTAAACAGGCGCCGTCCTTCGGATGAGATGTAAAACCGAGGTCCTGTCTCTTTGTGGTCATTAAAAATCCCAGGGCATTTCTCGAAAAGTGTAGGGATGTAACCCCAGCGTCCTGGCCAAATTTCCCATTGGCCCTTACCAATCATGGCCTTCTAATAATCCCCCTCTATGAATTGACTACATTACTCTGCTCTCCTCCCCACTAATAGCCGATGTGTGGTGAGCGTTCTGGCGCACTATGGCTGCCGTCGCATCATCCAGGTGGATACTGCACATTGGTGGTGGTGGAGGGGAGTCCCCATTACCTGTAAAGCGCTTTGAGTGGAGTGTCCAGAAAAGCGCTATATAAGTGTAAGCAATTATTATTAATTATTATTATTATTATTATTACAAGGATCAAGCAAAACACTGTGGCATCCATAAAATAGAGTTCTGGTGGATTCTTGAAGTTTCATGTGTCATGCATTTTAGCATTGCTTTTGGTACACATTTGATGAGGTTAAAGTACCACATACTGTAGACCAAACTAAACCGATATTTTAATTATATTTCCCATTATTTTGGCATATTCTTTTCAATAAGTATGAATGCCTGTGGCACTTTCTTTTGATCTTTATAGGGGTTTATGAACTTGCATGTGTAACCTAGAGTTCTTTCTTCAAATTACACAATTAAAATAACCAAAACCTTGCATGCATGTGTTTTTAAAACTAGGCTAATAACCGGTATATAATAAAAATATTAAATAACTAATAGAAAATATAGATTAAAATGTGTTATCATAGTAAAATACGTTTGACATGCAAGTTCATAATGCTTTAGTTACTGGAAGTACACCCCGTCACATCAGATATTCATGACTTTGATCTAAAATGGAAAATAAAGCCATTATTCCTAATAATTAATAATTCCATAATTCAGATTGCAATTATTTACATTTATTACAATAGTTATGTATAGCTATTGTTGAACAGTATTTCATGTGCTTTAATACATTTATATTGTTTCTACAATTTGATTATGAATGAAAAAAATGCTCCAAAACTATTGGTAGAAAGATGGATAACTATGATGTGATCAATGGCCATGTAAGAATATTTTAATATATCAAGTTTTTAGTTGATTAGTAATTTACAATTTCATAATTCATGCACATATTTGATGGGGATAATGAGGTTATTTAATTTTTGTTGCTTAGTTTCCTGCAAAAGTGTTTGTTGGTGTTTCCATTTTAGATTATGTTTTATATTTATAAGTACAGTGACAGTGAACACTATTCTGTAGGAGATGCTGTCCTTTAGATGTGACCTTGACTAACATGCAACCAGGACCTTGTTTTAAAGATCCTATAGCACTGTATGTGCTAGTAGGAGCATTAATCCTTGTGTCCTGGCTACATCCCACTCTGGCCTTGAGAAACCTGGCTGACCTAATGTTCCCCCTTAATTTAACTGGTGACGCAGTTCCTCAGTTCTCCACCTGATTGACCATGTAGTGGGGTTGTTGGCACATAATCACTGACGCAAGACACCTAAGTCATATATACTGTATATAGGTGT